TTTTTAAAGAAGAAATAAAGCCCCTGAAAATCAGTCAATCACTGCTATGTCAATTATATCTCAACAAATTTTTTTTTAAAGAAGAAATAAAGCCCCTGAAAATCAGTCAATCACTGTGGTCCTCTTCACCTTTCTCAGCCTCTGTAATGCCTGTGTAAGTAACAGTATTTTTTAATGTGTATTTATTTATTTTGAGAGATGGAGAGGCAGAGAGAGAGGGAGAGAGAGAATACCAAGCAGGCTCCATGCTGTCAGCACAGAGCCTGATGCAGGGCTCAGTTTCAGAACCCCAAGATCATGACCTGACCCAAAATCAAGAGTCAGATGCTGAACTGACTGAGCCACCCAGGAGCCCTTGGATTTCTTTTAAAGGATAACTAAGTTGGTGAGAGGGCTGGATGGCTCAGTCAATTAAGATTCCCACTCTTGATCTGAGCTCAGGTCTTGATCTCAGGGTCGTGAGTTCAAGCCCAGAATTGGGCTCCACCCTGGGCATGGATCCTACTTAAAACAAACAAAGAAATCTAAGTTAATGTGCTAAAAATTCCTTCAAATCAGTATTTTAGAAGATATAAAGTTGTGGAAATTAGTTTATGTCCAAAGAAATGAAGCGCAAAAGGAACAAAAACACAAATAAATAAGAGTTTTGAATCCAAAAAGTAGGTAAGTGTGTGCAGGGAAGTCCCCAGGTAAGTACCAGGATGTGTGAGCCTACTTATACAGAGGAATCAAAACAATCCACCAACCACAGATTTATATATTGAATCTATTCCGGAGAAATAATGCTTTAATTAGCATATCATCAACATTGAAAAGACAGAAAATAGATCCTGTATATACCCTGAAACCAAAGAACATCATCACTAAAAAAAAAAAAAAAAAAAAAAAATTATTCCAACAGCAATGTCTTTAGGAAGATGAATATCTATACTGTAAGACATCATAAGACATCACTGATGCAAATTTGTTCTGAAACATCACATATTATGTATTTTGTGTATGGCTACCCACACCCTAATCCATCACAAATCAACAGCAAATATTAAAACATAAATTACTGAAATTCAGAATATGATTTTCAAGTTCAAGAACTAAATATTTGGTTTGTGGGGATTGTCACTCAAATGCAACATTGTTTAGGAAGCAGCGAATGAACATTCTTTCAAACACAACACAAAATGATAGCCAAGAGTGTTTTAAAGAATTTTGAAAAATTCAAGTGCGTAGCGTAGTGCAAAGGGTCGGCGAGTGATGGTCGAGGAGACCCACATTCAAGTCTTCTCACTTGTTTGGAAACTTAGATTATCTAGAGTTCGCGAGTTTAAGATTTTTAATCTGGGAAACAGAGATAATATTTGTCCTACATAGAGCACAGGATTCTTGAGATAATATCCATAAAATTCCTCTGGGCGTGGGGAGGATAGCATTTAAAATGCTTTCGATTATTCAGGACATAAGTAGCATCTGGCACAATGCACTACATAGCACAGGTGATCAATGGGACACTTCACATCCTTTCTTTGGCATTTATTATAGCATTTCTATGAAGCAGTTAACTCGAAAATGTTATGGGAAGATTTATACTAAATCTCAAAGTTGGCCAGTTCATGACATGATAAGCTCATTAAGTTGTTAGACGATAGGAAGCAAAGCCCAGGGTCGCTATCTTGTGGTTCAGAGGTTTTGCCCCTTAGCCATAATTCCGTCCATGGCCTGATCAGCTGGTGGAGAAGGTGGCCGTGATGGAGCCCGAGAGGTGGTTAAGCCTGTGTGTGGAGAAAGGGAGCTTGCAGCTCACAGGCCAGCAGCACCGGTGCTTGGAAAGGCATTACGGTTCTAGCACAATTAAGCTCCACTTAGCGGCAGCTTTTTCTCCCCCAAACTCTTTACGGGGTCTTTGTGCGCGACTCCAGGGAGCACTCCCATCTGGCCAGATGAAGAGCGAGGGGATTGTTTCATCAAAAGACAGAGTCTTAGAAAGGGGAAGTAGTGAATAAAAGGCTGAATCCTGAGGATTACAAATGCTTTTGAACTGCCCTGGGAAGATCAGAAGTGAGCACTGGTGGATGCTTTAATGCCTGCCCCATGAGGTGTATCATTTTTTTTTAAGAAGGCAGTGGAGGAAGATTTGGGGTGCAGGTACTCTGCTAAGAGGCTTGTGTTAATAAGATCACAGAATTGCAGGTCAGAGATAACAACAACAAACACCAGGTGCATCTGAAATATCAAAGCAAATAAACGTGACATCATGTTCAACTCCGTCTTTGCTGTTATTATCATCCAAAAGGAAAAATCATAGCTCCAAATTAAACCAGCCTAAATCCTGAGGCCATCCATCAAGAATACTCTTTCCTCTTTCTTTAATTCATATCTGCTGTGTGTACCAGAAAATTTTTCAAGACAGGCTTTCCATTAGCAATGCCCAGGGAGAACTAAGGTATCCTTGGGTGGGTAGAATTTACCTAGAGAAAACTCTAAATTGAGTAACCAACCCCCTAGGTTCTGCCCCCCGCCCCTGGAGGACAACTGACATTTCTGGCCACTTGAGACCACAAATTCTGATTGTTTTCTGGGCACGTCGTATTTGGAAAACCGACGCTTCCCACGTGAAGTTGAACATGAACCTCATTGGCCCACAGCCATCTTGTAAATTGCCTAGGTTGGATCTTTAATGTCAGTTGAAGATCTAAATTAATCCTTAATAACCATGCCAAGATGAGAAAAAAAGGAAAACACTTAAGTTCGAGTAGGGAGTTTTAGATTCAGGTTTAGTAGGCGGTATAATCGCCCTTGTCCACAGCACTTGATCACTTGTTTCTGGGTGGCCCGTGTGTATCGGGCTCTGTCATTTCATAGCACTGACTTCACTTAGACATATTCCTGACAAGAACAAACTCCTTCCTAAAGCAATTCAGTTAAGACAACTTCTCAAAGTGCCTGACCCCAGGGAAGAGCATAATATCCCAAGCAATTGACTCACAAATTTTGGAATACTAAAAATATAATACTAAAAATACTAAAAATAATACTAAAAATAAGATGAAAAAAATTTCTTAATTGAACATGCAAACTCAGAAAATATACAGACGAGCTTCAGGTTTTCTGGATGATTGTAATCTTTCTCACCTTATCTATTTCAGCCTTTCTTCTAATCCCAAGGTTTAAATTCAGTAAGTAGTATGAAAATTCACAAAAATACTTAAGAGACTAATATTTGATCCACAATATCCTAGAAGCCTCATGGGCATATCCTTTTTTGACCTTTCCAAAAAGTGTACATACAAGTGTGTAATAGTACCTAATATGTAATATGTGTAAAAGGACATGAGCTTTTTTCCTTCCTAGGAAATTGTCCTTTGTTTCCTTATTCCAGGCTTTCAATTAAGGTATAAGACTCCAGAAGTAGAACATGTATACCTGGCTGAAAGGAGAAAAAAAATTCACAACTTTTCTGAAGTATTACTTCATGATGGATACAAATATGGATGCCAGAAACAGACAGTCTGGATTCAAAGCTGTGTACTTATTGGCAATGTTATTTTGGCTAATTCACTCCATCTCCTTATTTGCCTCACCTATAAAACAGGGAAAATGATGATAATTGTAGCATCTATCCCATTAGTTTGTTGTGAGAACAAGGTGAGCCCTTCCATCCAGAGGACTGAGAACATTTCCTGGAACCTAGTAATTTGCAAGCACTCAGTAAATACTTCAGTTCAAATGTCATCGTTACAAATTGTTTATTCCTAAGCTTCCTTTTAAAATACAGACTGTGATAGAAACAATAGTGATCGTTGGGGCGCCTGGGTGGTTCAGTCAGTTGAGTGTCTGACTCTTGACTTCCGCTTAGGGTCGTGGGATCAAGCCCCCATCTGGCTCATCGGGCCCTGCACTGTGTGGAGCCTGCTTAAAATTCTCTCTCTCTCCCTTTGCCCCTCTCCCCAGCTTGTGATCTCTCTCTCTTTTCTGTCTCCAAAATAAAATTTAGGGGTGCCTGGGTGGCTCAGTCATTTAAGCCTCCAACTCTTGATTTCGGCTCAGGTCATGATCTCACAGTTCATGAGCTTGAGCTCCGCATCAGGCTCTGCACTGACAGGGCTAAGCCTTCTTGGGATTCTATCTTTCTGCCCCTTCCTCTCTCCCTCTCTCTCTCTCCTCTCTCTCTCTCTTTCTCTTTCTCTCTCTTTCTCAAATAAACTTAAAAAAATAAATAAGTAAAAAGTAAAATAAAATTTTAAAAAAACAATAGCAATTGTGAATGTTGTGGTATTCATCTAAACATTAAAAACTTAACCATTCATTTGATTAGATGGTGGTCCAGTATTTAGAAATGAAAACTGACTTTAAAGTCAGTCTTGAGAGTAAGGCAGAAAGTTGATTCTATAAACCTATATCTATTTAGTCAGGAAAGTGGAAAATTAAGATGATGCAAGTAATTCATATGGGAAAAGGCAGGGATGGAGGACAATCTTTTCATTTCCATTTCCTGGCCGGGGCCAAATTGTCTGAATACTTAAAACCCAAAGTCACTTGCTGTATGCAGATATGGACTTTGAAAACGGCTGATTATCTAAAAACTGGATTCAGTGACGCTGGTAAAATTCATTCCATCAACATTAGAAAACCCAGGCTACGTAATTTATATAAATGCATCAAGACAGTTTCTGAACAGACTTCATGGCAGCCTTGATCAGGCCAAATAAAACGCAGTACAATCAGCACGTTTTCTAATCACCCTGCCAGAGCTGGAAAGAGTCTTGTAGACTGATTAACTAAAGTCTTCAACAGCTTAAAGAAGTCTGATTCGGATGTAATAAAAATTTATTGGCATTACTGATTTCACAAACGTCAGCTGCTTTAGCATGTCCCACACTTCAAACCCTGCTTTGAAGACCAAATTACTTTCTACCTGTAAATATATTTTAAGAAATCATAGTTAATAATCAGGGGCTGCTGTTTTCATGGTCTTTCCAAAGCCAACTCTACAGCTTTCATCTTACCTTCTTGTGTAATTCACGGTCTTCTTTTAAGAGATTGAGATCACAGTCCATAGGGCAGGGACCAAATTTATTAGAAATGCTTCCTAGGGTTAAAAACAAAAGGTGGGAAAATGTATCACAGATTTTCACTTCAGAGGCCATGTAAGCTTATACTACTGTAATCTAAGAATGTATATAAAGCCCGACAAATGGGGATAAATTCAAGAACTGTAAGGAGGCTCTAAGATGTTCTATCCTCCCAATTTTAATGCAGTCGATGTACGAACCTCAAGTAGAACTCTACCAGTGGTCACCCCACGGGGGATGCAATTTACCAGCAGCAGTCTGATCTGTTTTCCTACCCACATCCGGGTAGGATTCTCCATTATCAGCTAGTTTTTCTGGGATCGAGTTTTCAAAGACACTCCTCTGCACCTCATACCAGTGTTCCAATATAAAACCTTGAGGCTAAAAAGTTCTGTTCCCATCTGTACCCAGGATTTGCCACCTGAGCTAACTTTTTCATATGATGCATGACTTATCCTGGAGTTTCTCAACCTCAGCACTATTGACATTTTGGATTGGATCATTCTTCGTTATGGGGGCTGCCCCGTGTTTTCTAAACTGTTTAGCAGCATTTTTGGCCTCTACCCACTGGATGCCCGCAGTACCTTCCACCCCTCCATCCCTCCCCCACTTGCTGCAACCAAAAATGTCTCCGGGTGTTGCCGAATGCCTCCTGGGGAGCAAGACATCACCAGTTGAGAACTACTGCTCCAGAACCATAACTCTTCGCAAACAAACCAAAGTAACAACAATGACAACAATAATAAAACTCTCTGCAGACAATGTGCCTTGTTCATCTTGTTTCTTCTGCAGTGTTTAACACAGGATCTGAAAGAGTGTGAGTTGGAGACTATTTCTTAAATTACCGATCATTCCCATAAGGTTGACCCAACAACTTTTTTTTTTTTTTTTTTTTTTTTTTTTTTTTTTTTTTTTGAGTATACACGCATCATACACCACAAGCAGCCAAAGGATTACTGCTTGTCCTCCTCTCCCATTCCAGGGACTAAATATTTTCATCCTGGCCTTTGGAATTGCCCTTGTGGACGTTTTTTAAAGGAGGTTTCCATAGTGCAAATATTTTTGGACATCATCTCCGTGTCTACATGCTTTAAAAAAAAATTCTTCTCCCTAGAGATGACCCAGCCGGCCTCTTCTCCCCAGTCAAGGTCTTTGTGGCTCATGCATTTTTGAGCAGCAAGGTTTTATTGTATTTTCTGACTCTGTTCCCAGTACACGATGCTAAACTGAAGGCAGATACCAAAAAACGTCCTTCTTTAGGGAGAGTCAAATGGTTAAGTGCCCCTTGTGTCAGAAGCCTGGCACTTTAGTCTATTGGGATGAGGGTCATGTAAACCTTTAAAAGAGCTTCCTTATTTTGAGTCTAAACAGAATTCATTGATAGTGTGTTTGGTGTGGTCAAAATCGAGATAAGAAAGAAAGCAAGGAAATGGTTTCACACTTTAAATATATTATTATTTTATTTTTTAATTATATTTTTTATTTGAGGGGGAAGGGCAGAGGGGGAGAGAGAGAGAGAGAGAGAGAGAGTCTTAAGCAGGCTCCAAACTCAGTGTGGAGCCCGAAACCAGGCTCAATCCCACCACCTTGAGATCATGATCTGAGCTACCACTGAGGATCAGACCCTCAAATGACTGAGCCAGCCACATGTCCCAAATACATCATTACTTTCAAAGGCTTATAATCTAAATTCTCAGTGCACAGTTGGTGGGTGGAATATAAAAATATGAAATAATAGAATAAACTTTTAGCGTTTTTGAAGAGCTTCATATATATTATGATGTTTACCACACACCACACACACACACACACACACACACACACACACACTCACACAAAAGTGTTACAGACTTGGAAACTGAGACTCAGATCAAAGAACTTGCACAAATCAGACAGCTAACCAGTAAAAAGTCTGAAATCTAGGTCCAATTCTATTTGTTCTCAAAGCCCACGCATCTACCCCTTGTTTCACACCTTGTGGGAGAACCGTACCCCATTTTCTACCTCTACACTTTTTTAAACATTGAACAATACATGCATTTTTATTGCTGCTGGAACACACATTTCCACAACTTAGCGACTTACTACTCATATATTCAAGCATCTTTTGCAGGTCAGAAATCCGAGCATAGCACGGCCCAGCTGGTTCTGCTTCTTCAAATCTTACCAGGTCAAAATCAATGTTATCAGGCAGGGCTGCAGTTCTCATCTGGGTCTTGGGATCCTGTTGTGAGCTTGCTGGTTGCTGGTAGAGTTTTCTTCCTTCTCACGCATTCCTCGCAGTTTCCTCTGAGCCAACAACCTTGGGATGCATCTGGCCTTTGAACGTCTCCAGCTTCTCCTTCGGCTTCCTCTTCTGCTTACCCACCTGAGAAAGTTCTGTCCTTTTTTTTTTTTTTTTTAATTTTTTTTTTTTCAACGTTTTTTTTTATTTTTTTGGGACAGAGAGAGAGACAAGGCATGAGCAGGGGGAGGGCAAAGAAGAGATGGAAACAGGCTCCAGGCTCTGAGCCATCAGCCCAGAGCCTGGCGGGCTTCGAGCTTCTGAGGCCAGCGAGATCGTGACCTGGCTGAAGTCGGTCGCTTAACCGACTGCGCCACCCAGGCGCCCCAGAAAGTTCTGTCCTTTAAAGGTTCGTGTAATTAGATTCGGTTCACCCAGGTCGTCTCCCTCCTGATGATCAGCTTCTGGGGATGAGTCCTTGGACATTTTTGGGAAGCCATCTTAAAAATTCTGCCAACCAGGAGCAATTTCTGATGCAACGGAATTTGTATTGCTGTATGTTAAAATGTAGTAATACTGTGTGTGTCCAGGTGATAAAGTCCCTACCAAAGAGACAGTCTTCTAAAAGTCTTAATTAAACAATTTCTTTGTTTTTATGTAAAATGTTTTTTGCTCTATAACCTACCTTCCTATTTGTAAAGACATATATAGTAAATACGTATACGTTAATAATCATTAATGTTCACTTCATGTAATTGTATACCTTATGTAACAAATGTTATACATTTTATAAATATGTACATAATATAATTTTTATAAGATTATGATCATAGTGTATATACCATTCTCATCCTTTTTTATACTTACATTGTTTCTTGTTATTAAATATTCTTTCAAGCCTGATTTTTAATCGCTCCGCAGCAGTATATCATTTTTTTTTCACTTAAACCAACCACCCCTTGGTTGTATATTCACATCATATTGAACAAATTTCACAAAAAATCTTTACACTTCTCTGTGCTTATTTTCACAGGTGAGTATCTAAGATCAGGAATACTAAATCAAACACAGGATTCACGGTAAGAACTATCAATATTCTAACTGCAGCCAGCAATGTATGAGAGTGTCCAATTCACTCACATGCTTGCCAAAACGGACTCCCACCATATTTTCCAGTTTTGCCTACTTGGTAGACAAAATAATAACATTTCGTTGTTATTTTATTTTATTTTTTATAGTTTTTTTAATATTTATTTATTTTTGAGAGAAATAGACACAGAGCACAAGCAGGGGAGGGGGCAGACAAAGAGGGAGACACAGAATCGGAAGCAGGCTCCAGGCTCTGAGCTGTCAGAACAGAGCCCCACGCGGGGATTGAACTCACAAACCGTGAGATCATGACCTGAGCCAAAGTCGGATGCTTAACTGACAGAGCCACCCAGGCACCCCTCATTGTTATTTTAATTTGCAATCTCTAATTCTAAAAAAAATGTGAATTATTTTATGCTTGTTGAGCATGTATGTCTTTTGTGTTGTAACTTACTATTCCTTCATTTTTTTTCAGCTGGAGTATTTAACATTTTCTTTAGAATTTTTATCTTTCCATGTCGTATTTATCTTTTCCTGGCACACTGGTTCAAATATTTTTTCTGTTCGTAGTTTGCCTGCTAATTTCTTTGACAGTTGTGTCTGTGTGTGTGTGTGTGTGTGTGTGTGCGCACGTATGAGGTGGTTTTCAATCTTATATAATCATGAGTATCAATGTTTTGCTTTATTGCTTCTCTTTTTGCTTATAAGCTTACAAATTTTTTCCACACTATATAGTCAAATGAAGTGCATAGAAATAAACTGTAAGCAAATAAGGAACTCGTGAGGTTCTGGCATGATTGTCTTTCATACTCCCCCACTGCCATTCGGGTAAACAATGGTGACACTAGGAAGTCCTCCTTCCACCCCAGGGTTAGACATACAAACAAAACCAAAAATCATTTCTCTCGAAGGACTCCTTCCCTTTGCTTCCTATTTCTTTTCGCCACTTCGCTAAGCCACCCAGACTCAAAATCTCCTCCATGACTTTTCCTTCCCTACTGTGACTCACAGCTAATCATTTGCCACTGTCTTCTACCTTGTTAAGAAGATCTTATAGCCATTCCTTCCTCTTTTCAGCCGTATGTTTCATCACTTTCCCAAATGCAAATGTATAAGCAAATCGATAGACGGACAGATACACAGATAAGTGGTGAGTTTTAACTGAAACAGAATCATGCCATATACTTTTGTCCACAAGTGTTTTTTTTTTTCATATAATAAGAAATCATGGTCATCTCTATGAGTCATAAAATACACGTCTAACAGTATGTTACTTAAAATGAATTTTCCCCAGGGTGCCTGGGTGTCTCAGTCGGTTAAGCGTCTGACTTCAGCTCAGGTCATGATCTCACAGTTTGTGACTTCAAGCCCCCCCGTCGGGCTCTATGCTGACAGCTCGGAGCCCGGAGCCTGCTTCCGATTGATTCTGTGTCTTCCTGTCTCTCTCTCTCTCTCTCTCTCTCTCTCTCTGCCCCCTTCCCTGCTCACACTCTGTCTCTGTCTCTCAAAAAGTGAATAAACGTTAAAATTTTTTTTAAATGAAATTTTCCCCTTGATCCTCCTTCATATCTTCCATCCACAGTCCCCTAACACCTTTCCATCCCGCCCAATCCACATAACACGTTTTATCCTCTCTGTGCTCATTTAACCAGATCTATACATACACACACATATGTGAACACAGGGACAACACATTGATAGAGGTGATATTCATTGTTACACAAAAAGCATTTTATATCTTGTATATACCTGCCTATACCCTTTCTCAACAGTATCTGATGGAATTCTCTTCAAGTCAATTATTAGAGCTCTAATTTGTTATATTCGATGGCTGCATAATATATTAACACTGCAGATGTCGCTTGATTTATTTAACCATTCCCTACTGATGACATTCATTTTTCTTCATTTTTATACTTTATTTATTTATTTATTTATTTATTTATTTATTCAAGAGAGAGAGAGTGCATGTGTGAATGGGGGAGGGGCAGAAAGAATTGAAAGCAGGCTCTACACTCAATGTAGAGCCTGAAGCAGGACTCAGTCCCATGACCCTAAGATCATGACCTGAGCCGAAATCAAGAGTTGGATGCTCAGCTGTCTGAGCCACCCAGGTGCCTTTATTTTTATATTCTTACCAAAAAGAATGTGACAGTAAAATCCATTACTCGTGCTTTTATTCCTGTGGATGGGTTTCCAAGGTGAGATTGCTGGGTCAATGAGTGCTCATATTTTAAATGCTAATAGATGTTGTCAGATTGCTTTCCAAAAGCTTGCATATGTATATACATATGTAAATATATATATGTGTGTGTGTGTGTGTGTGTGTATACATATATGTATATATTTCCATAGCAATTTATAAGAAAATCTATTTTTCTAAATCCTTGCCACCAGTAGATCACCTTTGAATTAATTCATAACATTATTCTATGATGATCAGAGACAGTGGCCTCTATTATTGTATTTCACATATGTCTGTCATAGATACAAAACCTAACAAGATTAGGTTACATTTTATACTCAGCTGTTGTGTTATTTGATGCATATAGATTGTGTCATATTATATCTTTTTCATAAATGATACCTTTTATCATTATAAAATGTTCTTTTACTGTTTAGACCTGTTTAAACCTCAAATGTCAACTTTCCTGATATGGACATTGTTTCCTGGGACAGCTTTATTTTTGTTTGAATTTTCTGGTATCAGTTCATCCATAGGTGTTCAACATTTCTTTAACTATGTTATGCTTGTTTACTGTAAGTACTGTATAGTTGGGGCTTTCTTTCTAATTCACTTAGACAGGATCTTTTAATGGGGAAATTATCCCACTATTAAAATATTATATGTTTTATTTTATTTCTCTTTTATTCATTTTACTTTTCTACTCCCTCCTTTCCTTTTCTTTGTGTTGCTGATTAGCATAGGATGATATTCGTTTATCTTGGTATTTCCTTCCTTACTGTATGTGCTACCCTATTCAATTATGATTACTTTCTCCAGAGTGTAGGCATAGGCAAAAAGGACAAAGTTAGAAGTGCACCGCACGGTGTCTGGTCTAATAAGGGAGCGGTAAAAAAAAAAGTGCAAAGTGAGAGACCTCTGGCAAAGGGGAAGATATGGAAGTGTATGTCTAAAGAAAGCATAAAAGAGTCCCATGAGAGAATAGGACATGTTTTAAAAACCCAACAGTTTCTGCCATTTGACAACACCAGAGAAATAAGCCCTTCTCTGCCTTCAGCTCTGTCCTGTTCCTGGTTAGATCACAAAGGACTCAATAACCACAATTCACAAGATGGAGAGAAGGGGTAGAAGCATAATACTCAAAACTAGAAAAGGATATACCCAAGTTCTGCCTGCACTTCTTAATATTTAGGGCCAGTCTGAAGTAAACTGTAGGCTGGGTGAAGCCTTTAAAAGATGTTGAAAACATTTTTTTGTTACTAGCCCAACTAGGCATATGAACCAGTGATTTCAGACTGGAGGCATGAGTGGTAATAAGATCAAAGGAGGAATATTGGATTACCACAGACTCCCTTCATACAGGTACCCACCTCATACGCTAACTCCACCTGCTACGTTTGTGGTAGAAGGGGAGGACCCCCTTATTCCTGCACCTAACACTTGAATCAGATGATGATGTTACTGGCAACTTTACGACCACACACTCTGTATTTTCCCTGGCTAAATCCACAATTGCTGAATCCAGTCTTGTTATTTTTTTTTAATTTTTTTTTAACGTTTATTTATTCTTGAGACAGAGAGAGACAGAGCATGAATGGGGGAGGGGCAGAGAGAGAGGGAGACACAGAATCGGAAGCAGGCTCCAGGCTCTGAGCCATCAGCCCAGAGCCTGATGCGGGGCTCGAACTCATAGACCGCGAGATCGTGACCCGGGCTGAAGTCGGACGCTCAACCGACTGAGCCACCCAGGCGCCCCAGTCTTGTTATTTTTAAAATCAAAGTGCCGGGTGATAATTTATATCCAATAAAATATACA